ATTTTTTTAAGTTTTAAGGTTTTTAAGTAATGTTTTTCTTGTGTCTTTTTTTACTTTTTGCATGTTGCCTATCCAACTTGCAAAGTAATTTTCATTTTAAGATTAAAAATACTTTTATGCATCAGAAAATTTTCAAATTTCACTTGCAAAATCTTTATAACCTCCAGATAAACATCAAACGTTTTTTAAGGAAAAACTTTATATTTTAGTTGTTATTTTCACTATCAAATCTCTGTACTTGTATTGAAAGAACGAATTGACGTTATAATATTTGAAATTGACTGAGAAAGCCACTAGGGGGACATTCTGAGCTTTTGATTGGTTATTCACATGTTATAGACAGAAGTAAGAGTGTATAAGGAAGTGTTTCCAAAAATATAAAGATGTCGGCGGGGCCACTGTATGTGATTCAGTACAAGAGTGATATCTCAGTAAATATAAAAGATAGGAGGTTCTTATTTTATATTCTAGTTTTTCAATATCAGTAATTTGAGTTCCTAATTCTTAGAAACTATAAACTTTATATTTGGACATCAATTTGAGCCAGTGCTTCAATCAACATCCCACGTGACACACAAAAATCAATGTTTAGGTGTGCTTTTTTAATATTTACTTTTAAATCATATAAGGAAATAATGTATAATACAAAAATTATAATCAACAATTTGATACCAAACTTATTGACATAAATTCATAAAATAGTAGTTCAATAAAATTTTGAATGTGAATCAACAAATGTGATGACATGGCCTTTGACCCATGTGGAGAGGGTTAAAGGGGGGGAATGAAGTAATCGATAAATTGCAACTGTTGGAAATTTTGGAAAATAGAATTTCAGTACAAATTGATTAACACATGAATGGTGAATATATAATAGAAACTTAAGATGAAAGTCAATGCAAAATGACAACCTCCAATGTTGCAGTGGGTAAGCCAGCCCTACAAGGTACAAAATACCATTGTTTTTTGTTATGTATGCTGGCTGAATGTCATATTAAGTCTGAGGATTTTAATGCTATGCGTGATCTAAATCAGCAATAGAAATACACAAAGTGTAAGACTAATCATCATATGTCTTTCTCCAATATGGCACCAATGTCGACTGAACCAATCTAATAAATTCTCAGGCTGAAGTAATAGGTTACAGTCAAGTAAGTGACTTATTAAATAATGTGCATACTTTAATAGATCATGATAGTAGTTGTCTGCCTTTTCTGGATGAATTTACCAGCAAAATGGATAATAAATTGGAGCTTGTTTTGAATGAAAATATTCAATTAAAGGAGAAACTTAAATCATGTCATAATGAAATACAAGAATGCAGGCAGGAGATGGTGGCTTTACATGGTCGAAATGTAGCAGTTTCAGTGCCAGTAAATAATCATGTTTTGGAAGTTGGTTCCTTGACATTTCCTAGTTCAGGGACTTTTGCTGCTGCTGTTAAATCAAAACACCAGTTTGTCTGTTATTCAATTCCACAGATCAAATAATTTATTCAATAAGAATATTTATTAATGCAACTTATGTAAAAGATGATACCCATTATAAGGGTCCTGTGCACTCTACCATTGATGAAGTTCAAGATGACCCTGAAAGTGAATCTGTCATGGTGTAAAACAGAAGAAAATCACATCAATGGCCTATTGTCATTCATGATGTTAATATGGGTAACACGAAGATTCATTAAAATCAGCTTACAGTAGTAGTAAAAGGTTATGTATTGGTCGATGTGCACTAAATACAACCGAGTCAGCTGTTGAGACATTTCTAAAAAAAATTGTTTCAATGTTGAAAAATGTGAAAAGCTTAGTTCAGAAAGGATAAATAGATCAACATCCTTTTGTGTGGAGCTCTATCTCAATTGGTTTTCCTCAATAGCATCAAAATTTTTTTCACCTGAGCTTTGTCCTGCTGATTTAATTGTTTGATCTTTTATTCACCTCAGAGTTAATTCAAAACAGAGTAAAGAGGAGTATATCAATAAGATTACCAATGAATAACAAGCTTAATTTGGTATGTTTAAATGTCAGAAGTATTAGGCATAAGATTGTTGATGTATCAACCCAATTTTTTTTGTTGTGATTTAATACCGGATATCTTAAATATTTCTTGAATCATGGAGTTGTGATAAAAAGCCTCCACCCGTATTGCCCCAATTATCAAATTATAATAACGATTTTTTTGGTGGACCCTTTGGACACAAAGGTGGTATTGTAATTTATTCTCCTCCTGGCTTGAAGTATAAGATTAATTTTAATTGTAACTGATCATACTGATTGATTGTTTGTAGTTAAGCACAAAGCTACACATTTGTCTATGTGTGCTCTGCCCACCACAGGTATCGAAACTTGGTTTCTAGCATTGTAAGTCTGCAGACATACTGCTGTGCCACTGATCTACTGAATCATGTAGTTTTAGTATTGATAAAGTTTATACTTTGCATTATATTTATTGCCCACCATCTGGTAAATGGTGTGGTTTTATGGACACACTTTGTTTACTAGTGGACAATATAAATTCTGATAATTTGGTGTTTTTTGAGGGTGATTTTAAAGTGAATTTTTTTTATTTACCCAAACTAATACAGATTAAATTTATGTTTTGAATTAAATAATTTGATGTCTGCTACAAATGTTAAGCTTTGTATTTACCAACATACTAGGGTTGTTGGTGCTCCTGTGTTAACAACTGATAATATTTTCACTAATTGTTATGTAGAAGATATAATTAAATGCTAAAAAAGATATTGGAGAAATATTTATTGGAAATATATAAAGTGTAATTATGACTGAAGGTTTATCTAGGTTTAATTTAGTTGAGAATTTATTTATTGTTATTCTGGAAAGACTTATTAATGAACAGATTATTGTCCAGAACAATGAATTTAGTAATTATGTGAATTTGTTCCAAGATAGTTTCGGGGAATTAGATGCAAAGGCGTATTCAAATATATTGCATTAAACTTGCTTTGTGTTGAGTTACTTCGTCTCTTGAGTGTATTCTTTATTCCAAATGTTTGTGGCCTGTGAGCTGACCCACAACTGCATAACTTGGAATTTAACTGCCCCATAAAAACACCCGTTACAGGATCAACTAACAGTGCTCACTATTATGTGACAGGATCAACTAACAGTGTTCACTATTATGTGACAGGATCAATTAACAGTACTGACTATTATGTGACAGAATCAATTAACAGTACAGACTACTATGTGACAGAATCAATTAACAGTGCTGACTACTATGTGACAGAATCAATTAACAGTACTGACTATTATGTGACAGAATCAATTAACAGTACTGACTATTATGTGACAGAATCAATTACAGTACTGACTATTATGTGACAGAATCAATTAACAGTACTGACTATTATGTGACAGGATCAATTAACAATACTGACTACTATGTGACAGGGTCAATTAACAGTACTCACTATTATGTGACAGAATCAATTAACAGTACTGACTACTATGTGACAGAATCAATTAACAGTACTGATTACTATGTGACAGAATCAATTAACAGTACTCACTATTATGTGACAGGATCAATTAACAATACTGAATATTATGTGACATGATCAATTAACAATACTGACTATTATGTGACAGGATCAATTAACAGTACTGACTACTATGTGACAGGATCAACTAACAGTACTGACTGCTATATAACATTATATTTAGCAGAAATATTTTATACTGATTTTGTAAATCATGCTAAATTATTATTTTAACTTATCTGAAGCCTATATTAGGATAAAGCATATGTTAAATATTTACCTATTTTGACTACTCTCTTGGCCACTGCCCCATTCCCAGTCATCTACTGGATCTCTCTCTGGACTATGAAGTTGATCTTGGAGTAATGGTGTGTTACTTTTATCTGGATCTCTGTTTCTGAATGAACAGAATAACTTAGTACACAATATGAAACAGTTACAGTACAAAACTTTAAGAAATTACATATATTTCCTTAATTCTAGATAGTTTGTTTTTATAAAATTTTGTTTCTGTGCCAGTTTTTACAGACAGTATTACCATTTATTATTTCTTTTGGTTCTGCAAAGTTTTTTCAGCAAATCACAGAACCTTTTCATACACATACAACCTTTCTTTTTCTTCACCTAGTTTGTAAGTATAAGGTTCTCCCTGATGTTCGGTTCATTGAAGCAAATTTTGTGTTAAGGAAATACTTTTGGATCTAACATATTTCCAGTGGTTACACATACTCCCTTTTTTTATATGACTAAGACTAGAATTAAAGAATGCAAGTTTTACTTAAAAGTGACAAAAACAATTCCACTGATGGTCAAATGTTTGGCCTGGCATGTTCTGCTGGTTAGGTGCTCTACTTGCAAAGTGTGGGTCATGGGTTCAAATCCCATCACCAAATATGCTTAGCCATTCAGTCAATCCCACTTTTCACTGGTATAGAACAGATGAAGATGGTATTGACTAGCTGCTATTTATCCAGTCTACCACTTCTAGATAGTGTAAATAACTTTCAAGTAGCTTTGCACAAATTTCAACAAAAAAATAAACAAGTCTAATCATTTACTAAATCTTTGAGCATTTACAAATCAATCACGATACAAATTTTATATTTTGGCCATAATAATACATTTATTTGTAAGTAATACCCTTTTACCAATAAATATGTCAAAATTAATGTCTCTTTTTCAAATTAATAATCATAATACTTAGTAAACATTCTTAAATCTAATCTAATGAAAATTAATTAGTTATCTAATATGGATATTACTCAATAATTTTTCAGGAGATGCTACTTAGAAAAATCTTTGCTAATGCACTTGCAATACAAACAAATAATACTTAATTTGTAACCTGCACTTTTAATAAAACTAAATCACTACTGAATCTCTAACCTGTACCTTTAATACAGTCCAATATTGAATCCATAACCTGCACCTTCAAAACAACCAAATCAATACTAAAACCTGCACCTTTAATACAATCAAATCAATACTGACTCTGTAACCTTGAATAATTTATGTATTTTATACATTTCTGAAAATCTGATCAACTTCTTTGCTTGCTTAATTTAAATCATTTATTATACAAACATTGATACCAAAAACTAACTATGCATATAGGTGCAATAAATCAACAGTAGCCTTGCTTAATTTCTACCTGTAGTCAGAAAGTTCTAAACTAAAATGCTCTAACCATAATATTAATAATCTGAAACAAACAAAAAACAATCTTTCTAAAATTTACAAAGTTCAATTAATAACAGAATCCACTTCATCAAGTCAAGAAACAACTAATCACAAAGTACTAAAAAGAAAGTAAAACAACAGAACATTTTGATAATTAATCCAAGCTATACTATTGCATTTGTTAACTACATCAAACTTACAGTCTTGACTTTCTTATACAGGAGTCACTGATTATTTCTTTTTAAGCAACTTGAAAGTACAATGATAAAAACCATTTTTAGAATGTATAACAACAGCACAAAGTTCATGATTCTTATATAAGGTAACGTATTCACAATTATTCTCACCAAATGAATAATTTTAATTTATGAGAAATAGAATCAGCACTACTGTTATATATATCTATCACAGCAACAATAGTAATGGTATTTCAACCACACGTCATATTCACTGCCAACGATGGCTTATATAAGTAGTATTCTGACCACTACTTTGTTTATTGTATCCCAGCCGGCCTGAAATGATATGAATTGAGCGAAACACATCCTTGGCAATGGATACGATGAATATAGTGTGGTTGAAATACTAATATTTTACACTCTTATACTTTTTGAAAATCCCTATGGAACTAGATTAAGAATGTAGTGTTAAAAAGTATAATGGGCCTAACATAATGTCTTACAACAAGTATAAATTATTATAATCATTCTTTGCCAACATCTAAAAGGAGTTATCACCATAACAATTGTTGTTGTAACAAATGGCCCATATAAATAGTATTCCAACCACTATGTGTACATTGTATCCTTGCCTGTGGATTGAATGAAACACCTCATCAGCAATGGATATGACAAATATAGTGTGGTTGAAATATTATTATTATTATTATAATACACTCTTCTAATTTTTGAAAATTTCTAAGAGACTAGATTAAGAATGCAATGTTAAAATATATAATATGCATGACATAATGTCCCATGACAAGTGTAATATGATAAATATCTAACATGTAATATGTAACATTATTTCCTCAAGTGTCAAGTCAGTCAACTCTGTTGTAATACAGATCACTGTTTCCTCGAGCTATAAGTCAGTCAGCTATGTTATATATGTGTGTGTAGCAAACATGGGGTATTCATAATCGAATGCATTCAAATACAGCTTTTTGTAGTATTTATACTTGTATTCAAATTTGCAGTGTACTGCATAGCTACTATGTGATCCAGTGGAAGAGAAATGACATACAATTCAGCAGAGAAACTGTAGAGGGGATCCTCCAACTGCCAAGCCACAACAAATAATGGCAGAGCCCACAGAGTCATCTGATTTCAAACCATTCGTAAAAATGGGAACAGAAGAATGGTTCAAAAGATGTTCAGCAAAGAGAAGATGGCACTTCCAATTGGGAGTATCCACCTTCCTCAGATGACTCAAAGAAAGGTCACAGGTGGGGAAAATAATAAGCCATGATGAGATAGGCTGACCATTGGAGACAGCAATGTCATCCAATAACAGACCCAATTCAGTCAGCAGACCGTCTATTCCGAAATAGCATAACCCACTGAAGAAGGAAGAGAACCCCAGATGGGATGCTGTGGCAAGGATCAAAGCTTAGTAGCAAATTACAAAGAAACTTGTAAATGGTTAGTGAAGAGGAAGTCCATGGGACTCAGTTTACAAGCTCTGGACTGGCAAAGTGTGGAAAGCCTCTGTGCAGAGCTGAAGCCCCCATATGATGGACAGGATACAGCATCTTCAAGGCAAAGGGCCTGGCAGAACCATAAACAAGAGACCCATAATCCAGCTTGAAATGTATGAGGGCATGATGGATCTTCAACAAATAGCATTGATCCACTCCCCAAGAGGTGGAAGAGAGGACACAGAGGATGTTCAGTGCCCTTGACACATAGCTGCTTGATGTGAGAAATGAAAATAAGCTTATGGTCAAAGATAAGCCCCAAGAACATTACCTGAAGAACCATGGGAAGAACACCACCATCCAGACAGAATTTGGGATCAGGGTGTAAACCCTGTTGATGGCAAAAATGAATACAAACGGTTTTAGAGAAAGAGAAGGTAAAACCATTTGCTTTGATCCACTTCAACAAGTGAGTGAGGGCAGTCTGATAAATAAACCTCATGTTTGACGAATGTGGAAATCATCAACATAGAGGCCATTTGAAACAGTAGGAGGAAGTTGTTTAGTGATAGTGTTGATGTTTATACTAAAAAGGGTGACATTGAAGATACAACTTGGGGAACTCCAAATTTCTGTGTGAAATAACGGGAAACGTTCGAACCCACAAGGACTTGGAATCCTCGAACCAGTAAAAAGTTATAAATGAAAATATGTAAATGGCCACACAACCCATATAAATGGAGGTCCCACAAAATGCTGTACCTTCATGTAGTGTCATAAGCCTTCTTAAGATCAAAGAAAATGGACACAAGGGAGTTCTCTTTTGAGGAAGAATTCTCTGATTGAGGTTTCAAGTTAAATTAGGTGGTCTACGGTGGAACACTGTTAATGAAAACCACATTGGACACAAGAAGACACAAGATCTTATCTTCTGAGGAAGGATTCTTTAATTGAAGTTTCAAGTCAAATCAGGTGGTCTATAGTGAAGCGCTGTCAATGAAAATCACATTGGATGTGCAAAAGGAGGTTGTTTGATTCAAGGAACCAAACAAAATGACCATTAACCATCCTCTCCAAAACTTACAGAGACATCTAGTCAAAGTAATTAGATGATAATTAGACAGAATCTTGGGATCCTTCCTGAGCTTAGGACAATAGCCTTGCACCAAGCATCAGGAAAAATGTTCTCCTGCCAGATCCAGTTAAAAACAACCAGAAGAAGAGCAAGAGAGACAGGAGAACGATGGTGCAACATTGGGCCCGACTGATGTACTGCCAGACCAACTGAGAACAAGCTTAAATTCCACCAGTGTAAAAGGGCGATTATAATTATAGAGATGATCAGCCCAAAAGGAAAGAGGTGATCGCTCTCCATGAGACTTGATGGCCAAGAAAGCAGGAGAAAAAAACAGAAGTGCTGGAAAGATAAGAAAAGCCCTCCCTGAGAGTATCGGGAATGCTCTGTACATCAGCAGCTTCCTGGCTATTGGAGAGCAAGATGCAAAGTTGATGGAAAGCATACTTCCCACTGACCTTCCAAATTTTGTCCCAGACGTCTTTGGAACTGGTAGTAAAAGAGATGCTGGTTGTGAACTTGATTCAAGATTTCTTTTGGCTTTGACATCCGACCTGCTGGACATGGGCACAGGCCCGCTGGAAAGCAATGCAGTTGGAAAGAATGGAATACCTGTGAAAGGTATTCCAGGCCTGTTTCTAAGCAAGCATGAGATCACCATGGATGAGAATATCACGGGAAATGTGTCGAGGTTTGTGGGATAGAACAAACAGCTGTTTGAATGATACAATCAGTTGCTGCCTCCACACAGTCATTAATAAGATGGAAGGCTAACAACAGCAGGATCGAGTTCCAAGAGAGAAGGGAAAGAGAGCCAGTCACCCTGCTCCAACTTCCACCATGGCACTCGGTTTGGGTGGCATTTACCATGGCCAATCTCCCTCAAAATCATAGGAAAATCATTCACTGTCAACCCTCCATGAAAAACGAGAGAAAAGTTAAAGGGAACAAATAGATAGATCAATAACAGTAAAAGACAGACTAGGTGCATGAAAATAGGTAA